CGATCCCCGGCCACGGCTAAACTCAGTGGCGAATAAAATGTCAACCTGCCTCCACTTACCCCTTCACCAACCCGCGGTGACCAGATTGAAATACTCTGTGACTAAACAACTTTCAATGACCCTCACATGTGCGGAGGCCTTCATCCAGAAGTGGATTAAAAAAAGGGCTGTGGATGTGTATTGAGAGTTTGCGTGGGGCTAACCCTGCTTCGTGCATTGTGCATACCGCGTGCTGTGACCACAGCTTCTCAACGCATCTGCCCCGCCAAGGCTTGCGCCTGCTACCCCACTTATCACGAGACCCCCCCTCGCCTCTCTCACAGATAAAACCGGTGGATGCACACGCTAATACAAATCCACACCATGTACAAAGGTAGTCTAGATGTCTCGAGACCCACATTTCATTCTCTAGAACTTAATATTGTTAAAGTACAGTAAGTTGTATTCAAAACAGAAATGAATATGTAGAGGAAAAACGATGTTTTGGGGTCAATTATTTCGGGGTCACAAGACATCTGGACCAGCCTGGTACCTGCACACTCCAGAAGGAGTGCGATAACAACAATAGACCTTGCACCACTGACGAGTAGCTAATGCCACAGGACCACGCACACCGAAAAAACGTTGTCATGCACAACACAATAGCAACACAAATATCAAACACGACTGACGGCCTTGCGTTGTTTGTGCGATGCACAGGCACACATACGTACATAACTTCAACTATTTTGACATTCGCACTGCCTTATAGCATAATATATATAGTGTAGGAAAGTGATGTTTAGGGCAAGGACCATGACGAGAAACTGCAGGGAAGAAGGTCACGTTTTATATACTGTTTTAAGGCAGAATGTGTCCGTTGTTTTTCGTGCCCATGTTACACTTGAAGCCCTGATTAATGTAACGCGTCACTTTAAACACCGAGCCCCAGCTCACAGGGTCTGATAGCAAGTTCCTCTAGCATCTTTCAGTGTCTGCCAATCAAGCGATGCTATCATCATCATCATCACCACCACACGATAGGCGTCAGTAGTGATACATTTATGTCGGGTCCGGATCGGTGATCCGCACCTCCGATTGGCACGGTTGGATACGTACGGTACGAAATAAGTTCCTCATTTCAAAAAACCCACACCCGGCCCACCACATCGCTAATAGCCGGCTGTGGCTGCTGGTCAAGTGCCACCTTCAGGTCAACAAGCGACCAGGAAAAAAAACACATTTCGTAAGAAATTAATCCGTGGATGCAAAGATAACGGCGACAAATCCACACCCAACCCACCCCGCAGTGAGCTCGTCCGTAAACACAAAATATATAAGATGTCTTTACACTCGAGATAAATCTACCCATTAGCTCTGTTGCCATGGCACCCCCGCCAAAGTCGACACGATTAAAGGGCGGATTCCTGCTGGTAACGCTGATTGCCCGTAACCGAACACCGCTGTAGCCCATTACATGGGGCGATTGGTCTAAGGGGCAGGGATTACCCAGCGCCGTGTGGCCGGGCTCAAGGGTTGGCTCCTGATGCGAATGCAGGGGAGGAATGGGGATGGAGGAGGATGTACAAACAACTGGGAGGAGATCACATCGCGGTCCCTAAGAAGCACATTTAGCGAAGTGTTTCTGTAGACATACGCTGGAATGGCTGTTGTCTCGCATTGTTTGAATGCATGTCGTTTATTCGACACACACTTGGTTTGGAAATCGATATTGACCGATATAAATGCTCAGATCCCTTCCCCAATAAATACTCGAGAACATGATCAACGCGAGTGCGATGTGTTAGGACGCAATGAATTAGTTAACAATCCATCTCGCCCCTGCTGCATACGAGCTCATTTCATCGTTCCATCTCCGCGGGGGATGTCGCGTCCTCTCGAGCGTTTTCCTTTCTTTCGTTGCCATGCCACAAAGTCGTTTTACTCGTCCGTACGCAATTATCCCTTCTTCCAATGGGCCCTGCCCAACCGAGCACGCTTTTCTTAACATTCAATTTAATTGCTTTGTTAGATCGTGTGACACATGGCAACAGCTTGGGAGGGGGTGGGCAGGGAAGACATTCCTTTTGCAGTGGATAGATCGTGACCGATGATGTTGATTAATGGGATTGAAGTCAATGTACCGTAGGTCACACGTAACGGATTCCATCCAATTACAGTTATAATTAACGCGTTAATCACACAGCACACCGACGCCAGTTCCTCTCTGTCTGTGTGAACCGCCCGTTGTCAATCCACGTGTGGATGAGGGCCTCTCCATGCCGTGCGGCCGTGGGGGGTTACATGATCATACCTCACCAACTTGCAAACCGCATGTGCGTCAACGGAGACCTGCGGCTACAATTTCCCATCATCAGCCATGTTCACTCCACTTCTGGATGAGGGCCTAATGCCCTAACCCATCCGCCGTCATCTGTTAAGATACTGCGATGTAATAATCTTTGGAGATCTAACGAGTTCGGACGCAATACGCGTGATATGGGTATAGACAAGTTCTATGATATATTTGTGTAAAATAGGCAATCTGGTAACTAGAAACTGCCCCTACATCCCAAGCAGGAAGTTCCTCCTGTAGGTTCTCCGTGAGGTTTTCCTGGGTATGCGTCTCTTATGTAACACGTTCTCATCGCAGCGGCAAGGAATTTGCATGTATCGCGAGCCCTTCTTGTGGTGCACAACTATAAACACTTCCACTTCAGACTCATACTTTATTTCAGCTGGTCATGTCCATTGAACTAAACGGTTCTTTTGCAATGAGGGGCCGTCCATAAATGACGTCACGCACCTGGGGGGGGGGAGGGGTCAGATATTTGTGACGATGTGTGACGAGGGGGGGGGGGTGAGAAATGTGACGTCACATCATAATGCGCAACTTTAAATAAATATAGACAACACGTTCTACTTAATTAAATAGACTTTTTAATAAATGTTTTCTCCTACAACATCGGAGTGCAGCGCCACATTAAATACGCACTACAATGACAATAGTTTAAAGCGATTTGAAGCATGTTTTATATTTTTTTAGGAGGGGGGGGGGGGCAGAGCTTTGTGACGTCATATTTGAGGGGGGTCTGACTTTTTGTGACGCCGCGTGACGAGGGGGGGGGGGGGTAAAAAAGTCGTCCAAAATCGCGTGACGTCATTTATGGACGGCCCCTTAAGTGCACGCATTGCGGCTATTGAAATATTGAGGGGGGGGGGGGGGGGGGTTACCGAATTCGAAAAAAAATGCTCTTCTTGTTTTTTTTGCTTCCGACCCCTGACCATGGAAATAAAGTTTACCATGGGAGTTCAGTTGACCATGGCAGTCCAGTATACCATGGAAGTCGTACGCTAGGCTCGTGTTTTGTGGAGCTCTTTAAACTTTTGGGTCAATTATTACATCGCAGCATCTTGAGAGACGGCGGCGGGTTGATTAGGGCATAGGCTGTCATCCAGAAGTGGAGTGAACATGGCTGATGATGAGAAATTGTGGCCACAGGTCTACGTTGACGCACATGCGGTTTGCGTATGTGTGTTAAACTTCTTTCGCAACCTTCATCTTCCTCCTATAATCAGAATGGTGGAGCCTGGAAGTAACGCAATTGGAGAAGCATTGCCTGCAATTCAGTCAGCTTCCAGTAACTGCTTTGTAATTATTATACCTATCATGTGTTATCCGAGCCCTGAAAAGTTATTGAATTGGGAAACCACCATGCATTGCAGGTGCTATAGGCTGTTGCCTGGCTACGTTGTTGCGTACCTTCATCAACACGCATTGACCAGCGTGGTGAAGTATGGTCAAACAACCCTCATGACGGACACAGCGTGGGGTGGCTTCATCCAGCAGTGGACTTGCAAAGGGCTGCACAATTCATCCTAACGAGGTAGCTTGTCCATAACGCATCATCCGTGGCCGTGTATTAAATTGGGACCAATGTGCAATGGCTCTTCCCGACGTTCATAAATATGAATAGTTATGCCATAAGTGTTTGCTGACTAAAAGTTATTAAAATAAATAAAAGGCAAATGATTAATATAGCACGTTATACGATAGTAGTCGAAACAATATGTCTTCTCCTTACAGCGCCCACGGGTATTGAGCAATGCGTTCCCATAACCGCACTCACATTCTTGTGCCCGAGCTACCAATGCTGCGCTGGTTCCAATTTAAAACACAAGACACACAAATGCCTCCCCTCCCTGCCCTGATGATATGGGTATTGGAGAGCACAATAGGCTAATGGACTAAAATACATTTGTTTGTATGTTTGTGGAGACAACATAACGGAGAGATCTGCTTATGTTGCTTCAGTGTCGAGTCATCCGCGAAAGTTCATCGGGGCCATGGATTGGATTGAGCGCCGGGGCGAGTGGGATGAGCCTGCATTGTCCTTGGATGGGAGACCACCATGCATTATTACAGACGTTATAGGCTGCTTTTGGGCAGCCCTGTGGCTCAACGGTGGAGCGAGCACCTCGCAATCGGAAGGTTGTGGCTTCAAATCGTGGTTGGCGGTTGACTCAGCCCATCATCATTGACGGGGGGGGAGGGGGTATAGTAAAACGAAACAAGTACAACTTCTTGGCGAAATTCGAGAGTGGCTGTCCTATGTATAGGTTTACCCATGCCGCAGGAATGTGGAAATTCCACCACTGGTTCAGGGCTGTAAACACAGGAAATGAGCAGCGCCTCAATGCTCATTTGAGCTGGAAATCAATGTTGACGGCGTGCTTGACGCTGCCTGCCTTCACCAATCCCGTCGTGGCAAGCGAAGCGAAGTATGGCCAAATAACACCACCCACCCCCGCAAAAAAATGTTTTGTGGAAAATATCATTCTGACCGTGCTCTTGTGCTGTTTCCAATTTAAACCACAAAGGCGCACGCCTACCCCGCTCTCCTCGCCTCTTGCTCTCGATTTACGCCAGAGTGAGGTTTTAAAAGTCTTGCTGCGAGGGCCGAGAGAGAGGTGGGGGGGTGTGAGGATTGGGCCGTGCGTCACAGCGAGTGGGCGGGCGGGCGTGCGGGGTGCAATGTGGTGAGGAGGAGGTGGGTGGGTGGCAAATGCCCCGTCCATTGGCGAGAACGCTCCAAGCCCTTCCCCACAACGCGCAAGCCGCGTGCGTTGCTCTATGCCCCCCCCACCACCACACACGCGCACACGCCGGCTACCGGCGGCACGAGAGAATCCTCCTTTGCCTGTTCCACTCGTCCATCGGGATTAACAGCTGGACCAAGAGGAAGAGAAGAGCAGCTTCCCTGGGCTCTGGACGGTTGGTTCGAGGATTCGGAGGGGGGGGGTTTGGACCGCTCGACGTCACTCGGCGTGATCTGCTGCTGCTGCTGCTCGTGTTATCATCCAGCGGACGCAAACGCCGGCACCGGCGGTGATGTCCGCGCTGTGAGCCAGCGGAGTAAAGTGGAGGAGGAGCGGTGAAGCGCGCAGGGATGGATTGCGTCTTGCGAGAGGTGAGCTGCCTCTTCCACATACACCTGGGGATTGAGAGCACTCGGCTCCTCGTGGTGGCTGCTGTTGTGTGTTGATGCTGCTGCTGCTGTTGCTGATAATGAAACGATTAATTGAATGACTGCGCTGATAGTGGTGCACCGGATTAAGAACTGAAGAAAGATCATTGCCAGAATCGTCAGCCTGTTGTATATACAGTATATGTTTATTAAGCAGTGCTAATGATGAATGGGGGGAGGGGGGGTCTTACTTGATTTTTATTAGGTGCTGTTGTTCGATAGAGTTGGGTGACTACTCGAGCGAGGAATACTTGACGCGTTGGCCGGGCTGCGTTGGTGTATTAACGCCTCCTTACTAAAATGCCTCGCATTCTGTGTCCGGTGAGATCAGTGATTATGTTCATACATGGTATAGTACTCGTGATCTACTGCAGGTCCATATTTACCGCTATGATTCATCATCATATTCAGCAACCATGATCAATCTAGATTCTCACTTCCTAAAAAGAGCAGACACGTGATCCAAAGACGGCCATGGTGTTGGTTGCAAAATCGCAGGAGATGTTTCGACTTGAAAATACTGTTTATGATGCTTCAAATATTATCCACTTCCCTATATGCCTATCGTGTTAAGGTTAGGATTGTTCAATCAAACAAGCGTGTAATGTAGACCGATGTAACCAATTGTATTTTCATTCTCGCACTAAATAAAAGTGGCGCTCAGTGCCAATGGATTGATTGTAAGTCAACACAGCACTCATGGAGACGGAAGGTGGGTGGTAGAAGAGTTTGTGCCGAATTTAATACTCGCCTCTATATGATGGATACTCATTCAATTAATTCATATAATGCCCTATCTTTAATATTTTGAACGTATACGACCTCAAGTTTGTAATCAATACATACTACCTGCTAAGACGTGGGTCCGAAACATGGTCATTAATGAAGAACAAGGAACAAAAACTTAAAAAGTTTGCACAGAAGCATGGAGATGTGCTTGTTTGGGAATACACGGAGAGACAAAAAGAGGATTGCATGAATTCGGGAACAAATGGTTGGTGAATTACAAACTTCAAACTGTTAAGAAGTGCAAATGGGCTTGGGCAGGACATCCCTTGAAGGGATTGTAGCCGTGGTCATGAATAATGACGTAGTGGCAGCCGAGGGGTTGAAACCCTCCGAGAGGACGTCAGCCTTGAATGTCGAGCGATGAGACGAGCTGAAGTGCATGGGCTCGGTGGATTTATTACATCTCAGGATTGTGAGAGATTGTGACGGCGTGGAGAGGCCTTCATCTAGCAGCGAATTGATGGTTGATTATGATGGCCTCGAGGAATCTTGACAGCGGATAGCAAGCAAGTTTAAACTAATCTGCTAGCCTATACAACACGAACATTTGTATACTGTAATTCAAAGATGTTGCTTGTCCAATGCCAGAGTGTGTCCATGTCGCAGTAGATGCATTGATATACATTGTGTAACTGTGATGGATATTACAACAGATATACCATACTTGTCTCGGGCAATATTGATATCTGATACATAAAAAAACAATTGTGGCTGAGTAACTGATGTAAATACGTATGATGCTCGAAATGGGCTGCAAAAAGCTTAAAATAATGTAGCACAAATAAAAGTCGGGTCCATGACTATAGCAAGAAAAATTATGAACCAGCATTTTGGAATTTGGGGCCCGAAAACTTACAGCTGGGAAGTTATGGGTTTCACTCAGCGCAGGGTCAGTCCAAAGTTATAAAGTGCATTGAGTGCACTTTGTGATTAGCATCCCATGGAGTGTGACAATCAACTTAGGTGAAACTTGATATCGCCTTCTAGTTATATATTGTACTAATATGCACCATACAGCTGCAATATTATAATATCCATACTACCGTTATTTTGGGTTAGATCGCGTAAATGAACGTTTTTTGGGTTTAGATCGCGTAAATTTACTCACAGAGAGACTCACAGAGGGAGACTCACAGAGAGACTCACAGAGAGAGAGACTCACAGAGAGAGAGTCACAGAGAGAGACTCACAGAGAGAGACTTACAGAGAGACTCACAGAGAGAGACTCACAGAGAGACTCACAGAGAGAGTCTCACAGAGAGACTCACAGAGAGAGACTCACAGAGAGGCTCACAGAGAGAGACTCACAGAGAGACTCACAGAGAGAGACTCACAGAGTGTCTCACAGAGAGAGACTCACAGAGAGGCTCACAGAGAGAGACTTACAGAGAGACTCACAGAGAGACTCACAGAGAGAGACAGAGAGATCTTACGCGATCTAACCCCCAAAAAACTGTATTATGGATGGTATTGGTCGCGAAAGCCTACGTGTTAAACCAATATAATTGGCACAATCCAATACCTAACATTGCCTAACCTGTATCGGTCAATATACATACAGTACATGTTATTCTTGTGGTGTATTCGTCGAATTTTTACTCAGCCAATCATACCTCATACATCTTCTTTCAAATTACTGTAGTTACATTCCACTTTGTGGAGGGTCCAATGTGATCCTCATGGATAGTCTGGTTTACCCTCTTAGGAATGTGGAATTTCCACCATTGACTCAGTACCATTACCTATGACACTTTGAATAGTACTCTGGACACAGAGACACATGCATATTTTCCACAGTAGTCTGTGTTAAACTGTATACATCATTGAGTAACTTATTAAACGACGAAAATGTACATCACGGTTAAGAGTGTTCACAGCGCGGTGTTCCATATCCCGCCTTAATTTAAACGCCCACAGTCGTTACAGCAAGTAACTTATTGACTGGCGCGGACTTTAGATGGTTGGGGTGGAAAGGCTGAACCTAAAAAAAAGTATACGGTTTCCGCGAGCCTGGGTTTAACATTTCAGACGAAAGCGTGGCGTTGAGAGTCTGGGTCGAGCCGCTGTCTCACCGGAGGCAGGAAGTGTGGGTGAGACATTGGTGACTACAGCTGGGTTGTTGACTTTTTAAACACGGGAGTCGTGGGGGCACGTGGGTGGTGCGAGAACGGCGATCATTGCGGTGTCGCTATTGGAACTCGGCAGGGAGTTGGGGCGTGGAGACTGGAGGCCGGGATGATGCTGGCAATGACGCAGACAGAAGGACAGGGTCCCCGTTTTGGCACTGAGACAGACACACAAGGCGCAATTGACGCGGGTTTCGCACAGACGGACGGGCGTGATCACTGCAGCGGTATTATCCTTGCGCCACGTCACGAGGTGGGGGGGGATCATGACGGAGTTGACAGCTCATGCTGCAGCATCTGCTGCGGGTTGTTTGAAATCCACCGTGGCTGCTGTGAGTTGTTTTCCTGTCTTTGTTGAGATCAGCTACCATTTCCTTCCATATTACCGGATCCTGGACAAAGTGGGGCCAAAAGTCTTGATTTATTGACTTTGGAACTGGTTCCACACCCTTAGCAATGTACACTATATTTTTTTATACAAGTATCTACACATTACAATGTATTAACTTGCTATGAGCTAACATGTGTTGATATTATAACATAATGGATATTCTTTTGAACAGCTGAGCAGGAAATGTGTGAATGGGTAAGCGTAATAAAACAATATAGACAAATACTATATGTATTTATATATTGACTTAAAACTTTCGTGACTGCAGTAATTCACCGAAAGACCCACAGAGTATGTATTTATATGGCAGGGATATTTTCCGGATGACTGAATAATGCCTGAACAAATGTGCTCATTTTAGTTGAAAATTATTGAGCGGAGAAAAATTAATCCAAATTTTTTTATTTTGAAAATGTAGCATCACGAGATGCACAAGCTACATTTACTATAAACCACGTTTTTTATCAATCACTGATTCAAATCAAGTAATATAGGAGCACTGTGCTTACATACTTTGTCTGCATATTTTTACGGATGTTTGTTTGAAACTCACTAATAATTCTGTACGGAGAAAACATCTTTAATTACATTTACAAAATGTAGCATTTTGCAATGAGTACTGTTATGTTAAGTCAACATAACAGTACTCATTATTTTACTGCCCGGCGTTTCTGTTCTGGGGGGGGGGGGGTTAAAAAATACACTTTAGATAATTGAAATGTGCACAGCTTTGCTTAATGGGACCCAATGGGCTCTGTGAAAATATAATTCCGCAAATGCCAAGTGTTGAGGCTGCGCACCATCTGAGTCTGGTTAACGAGGCTTCGGTGGGCAGTGATTCACGGTAGCGTTGCCTCGCAAATTCAACAGCGTCCAAGTGAGAGGCCACACGGGAGCCTCCCACCGCCACCTCTGGACTTTTTTAACCCAAAACCTGGGTTTTAGCTTTTAAATATAAACCAAGAATTTATGGCACTCGATTGATTTGCTCCTCCCACCCTCTTATTCCATCCTGCCTCTCGACTCCATCCACACTCCCCTGGGCATGGGGGAATTGACTGGTGTTTGCAGATGCCAACACTGTTTTTTTTTAAATGCTCTTCGGCTCATTGGCGAATGTGGGGAATGCAGGCATCGTCTTACACTTGAGTCATTAGACCCCCGCGTATGCAAATGAGACTGTTGGCTCAATGGGCTCTCAGCTTGCAAAATACAGCCCATTACTGAATTAAACACTTTATGTGTGTGCATTGGGAAGCTGCAATATGCTGATTTTACATTCGTGCGACATGGTTGCCTCATATTTTGAATGCTTAAATGCTTTCTATCCTAAATGTTAAGGCACATGGATTATCTTATTGATTTGCACATAACTATTATTGCTGCGTATAGCGACATTTAGCATCATCGTTACATTTTTCCCTCTTGTAATGTGTATGAAAAGGACACATACAGTACATTGGGAATCTGCATGCTCACGTGAAAGTGTATTGCTCCGAGCCTGATTGTACGCCCTAATTTATTTATTGCATCCCAGTTGCGATCAGCATCCGGATAGTAATTTGAGAAGTGACATTTTTACCATTTTTCTTGTGACTCATGTGGTCCCTTCTACGTTGATCAGTGCTGCCAATGCT